TATTTTAATTCTAGCATAAATTCCACGAAGGAAATGTTATGCAAGTTTAATACTTATGAGCGTTAAGGAGATTGGATCCAGTTATCAAAAGTAATGAACATTTTTTGTCAATCATATTTTAGAATCTACACACATAGTTAAAAAAAAGTCTACACAAAATGGGGGTCAGTGCGTTTATTTTAGGACTATAACATGACCTTTTTGCACTGTAATAACGTCTAACACATACGTCAATTTTTCTCAGTTTTTCCTTTAATATTTTTATCCAAATGAATTATTGGAACAAGCACAGTCTTTTTCATCTTGAATAGTCACATTAAAATTTGTGGCAACAAAAAATAGTTCCAAATTACTTCGTATAGTCAATTATGTGACCTTTCTGCACTTAAAAATGTTATTTTTTCTGGCGTTAAAAATTTAAAAAGCAATAAAATCATTCAAAAGTAATCATTTTCTGATTTTAAGCATAATGGTTAAAATTATCTTAAATAATCAGAAAAAAGGATAAAAAGTAGGGGATCTTTAATGTTAATTTTTATTACTAAAATAATGCTAATTTTAAACTTAAATTTGGGTTATTTTTTTTTCCAAGGACTTTAACAATATATTTGATATATTTGCCAAATATAATAATAGAAGTCGTGACAGTTAATTTAATTTTTAATTTAGGACCAGCATAGAATATTTCACTGCTCAAAATTACTCACAGTTTGCATGCAAAAATAGGAATCCAAACTTTACAATACTGAATACTTCGAAAGAGAAAAAATGATCTTTTTCTTCTAAAAAAACCCTTCTGCCACAAAATATAGTTCCTCACTAAATGTTTCCGGTATGAAATTTAATCATGAGGTTTCATTTGAATATTTTCTCACTAGCATTATAGAATCCAGATTTATTGTAAGACCTAAAACATAATGAAGAATTTTCTAAATAGAGATCATTAGAAGACATATTATTGTAGTAACATGAAGCAGAATTTATTCAAATTCTTGAATCTTTCAAGTCAACATTGAGATATATCGACGATGAATTATCAGTTAACAATAGTTACTTCAATTCTACTCGACAAGATATGTCTCAATGGGCTTGACATATAAGATACCGTATAGTCTGATACATCTGTATCATATTTGGATATTTTACCCGAAAGAGGCATCTCTGGTAATCTTACAATCAAGACATGTGATAAACATGATGATTTCAACTTTCCAAACGTCAATTTCCCTTACTAATGTAGCAATATACCCTTATCATCTGCAAATGGGATTTGTATCTCTCAGTTGTTATATATCAAAGCATGTTCTACGTATGAACAATTTCTAAAATTAAGTAAATTTTACCAGCAAGTTGATAAAACAGGAAAATCAACTGTTTTGTTTAAAGTCATCATTTAGCAAGTTTTATAGTCGATGCAATGACCTTGTCAACGAACACAATCTATCCTTAAATCAATTGCTCATGGACATTTTTAATACTAATAGTAAGGGCATTAATTACACATTGAATTGTCTACGAATAAATTTTCCCGTTATTTCCAAATCATGACAAGGAGCAGAGAGCAGGTGTGTCAGGTCGACAGGGGAAGCTTACGTCTCAATGGCACACGATCCCAGATCTGATGTTAAAGAGGTCTATGTTTGCTCTGCTCAATATTTATGTCTCTTTAAGAGCACGGTTGTGCTTGAATACTTTTTGTTATTTCCTTATTTTACACATCAATGTTTTAATGTGCTTTCTTTGCATGAATTGTTTTTCCTTTAAAGGGGCTGGGTGGATATGGCCATTTTTAGACTACTTTGATCACTTTTAGAAGAAGAGCTCCATATAAAGATGTAATAAATGATCAAATTTTAAAACTAAAATTTATGATTTTTTTCTCGGCCAATTGACAGTTGAAAGCTAAAGATATCATATCAGAAAAAGTAAGTTATATCTGGTGGTTAATTTGTTGACCCCTAGCCTCCTTAGATAATACTGAGTGAACAACTATAGAATTTTACTTTAACTTCTGAAGAAATATTTATCAAATCTTTAAAGATATTACATTGCACAAAAAATATGAACCTTCATCTTTTGTTTTCCTATATTTGTTATGTCTACGGATTAGAGTTTAGCACACCGATAAGAAAATTAAAAAAAGAATTTATGTACAGAAGTAGAGCATGATTTTCATTCCATTATTATAAGACAGAAATGAAAAGGTAAAGAAATTCCTACGTATAGTTTGAATGACTTAAGAAAACACTAATTAGTTACAACATTAATGACCAGAATTGACAAGAGACACGCTAAATTTGACTGACATGCACAGAAATATTATAAGGACTGACAGGCTGAAATAAATTTATATTCAAACATTGCACTTTGAACGTTTTTTGACATAAAATTGACATTTTTTAAGACCACTTTTGAAATTTGCGGTAGGTTATTCATTGATTAGGTTAAACAACATGAAAAATATATAGAGCAATATTTGCAAGATAATTACATTTTAACATATGTTAACCATGTTAAGTCATGACACTAGTCTAAAAACAAATATGTTGACGTTTGATTATCATAAAGACAGAGACATATGTAAATGCTGTGTTTAAGCAAAGACCTCATACATGCAAATAGAAACACAAAAATCCCTCAGACATGCTATAAAAAAATAGAAATAATTACAAATAAAACGTTTGTGATTTGGGCGTGTGTCTCTAATAATTGGGTTTTAAGATAAAGTTATTCCTAGATCGATTAAAGCGAATCCTAGATAGCTGATAAGTAAGACAATTGAGGGGACATTTATTGTTTCTCACAAGCTCCTATTTTTGTCCAAATACTAACAACTGACCACACAATGTCTTTCAAGTAGACCTATCGGTATTTCATTATAATTTTTTTTAATAGGAATTATATACAATTGCAAGAAGCAAAAGCATAATTAAATGATGTTGCCAATCTTCCCCATCTTCTCTGATAATACTATAATATACTTAATATTTGTACACTGTGTTACTGGCTATAATAAAAAAAAAACATCCTAAGTAGCAGAATAAGATAGTGTTAAAAATTATGCTAGAACACTTATTCTTCTTTTTAGAAAAAAAACTCTCGTAAAATTTATCATGAAATTTATGTTGTAACACCATTATCATATCTTTATTTTAGTTACAGAGCATAGGTCCAAAAGTGTGCAACCCTGCCGAATACCAATTAATCATAATAATGGAGGAAGGAAATAATATTTCTATTGAAGTGGTCACGTTAAAACAAACAAAAACATAACAATATATATATTCATAAATAATCACAAAATTATACGTCAATGGTGATGATTTAAGGGAGTATGTATACTTTTACTACGAATAACATAAAGTCTCCAAAATAATATGTTAACAGGTGTTCGTGAAGGAAGTTGTCAATATCATGCAATAACATTTGTTTAATTGATAAGTAGGATATATATACATGGACTTTGCACTAATATTTAAGCAATTACTACCATCCGACAGCTGAATGTCACAGGAATCTAACTATTCCCGCGGAATCATAAATCAAAGGCCTTTTATGACCACTTGTCTTAGCGATAGTATGCTAGCCATGTCATTAAAGAATGCCTAACTAACTGTACATTGCATGTTTATTTTGTTGGCAATAAGTTGCTAGAACGATTTTTTAAACTAAGGAGAGATGCTTTTTGGAGTTGTGGTATTTTCAATTTCACTATGGAATGTAATTGTTGGATTTCCTAGTGGTGCTCCACGAAATTCGTGTCCGGACCCTGCTCCAATTCACCAAAGACGTATAAATTCTACCCATGTTGGTATTTTTTTCCCTCAGAGTATGGCAACTAGTCCATACGAAATTACAACTTCAGCCTCTCGGTACTTTAATGGGTCCATGATAAGAGGTAGGCTTCTTAAAGTGTTCTACTGGTAAATTATGTCAACCTATTAAACAAATATTCTTAATTATGGTCATTGTTATACTAGTAGCTAAAGTCATTTAAGCCTTACCAGGTTTAAGAATTTGAAACATTTTTTTTTACTTAGACAATGATTTTGTCCAGTACAACTTATTCTGTTTTAGAAACAAAAAGATACGAAAAGATACTATATGTTTAGTACATCTCCTAACGATTGTTAACTATTTTGGTAGTTACAAAAGTGCCAAACAAGTTGTTCTTACACCTTACCCTTAGGGTAAAACACCACAGGTGACATTTGTGCATTGTACTAGCATTCCTAGCGACGTATCACCGGTTTTACTCCAATCAATCACTGTCCACGCGTCTCGCACGGACAATGACAATCAACGGTTACTAAACAAAACTCTTTTGTAATTCAAATGTCCAAACAGTTCATGACTTTTTTTGACACAAGAAGCAATTACAACTAATGCCACCAGAATTCTCTGTTCGCTGGCAGTTACCATTATTTTAGCTGTATTCTGAAAATAGTAACTGTTTTCTTTATACAAACAATGATTATTGATTGATTGATGGGGTAGTGATTGTTTTAACGAACCTACAAAGTTGAGGTCATTCCGTTTCCTACTGGGTGTCCTTGTGATCTTCAATTAAACAACATGCATGAAAATATTTACCTATTAGACTCATACAAGCAAAATTAACTGTTGTTGTACCTTTTGTTGTTCGGTCTATAGATCTTCATAAAATGCCATAAGACTTAGACAAAAATGTTCATATTCTCGAAGAAACATCTAACCTATGGGTTGTCAAAAAATATATTTTATTACATTAAAATATATAGTGAAATAATTGTCTTAAAAAATCATCTTTTTTTAACATTGAGAACATTATGATGTTGTCAACTGTGATTCTTACGCATTCATAGGGATTTTTTGGTGTAAAAAGATTTTTGAGCTAAAGTAGAATTTTCCCATGGACACAAACATATCCTCATTTCGACCATGTGTTCCGTTTAGACCTTTGTTTTCAACCATGTCACAATTAAATAGCCCATTCTGACATGATATGATTTCCCTTACAGTAACACTGAAGGCAGACCCTGGAGATTACTTCCGCGGTTTCTTCATTCAAGCCACCCGAGCTAACTTTGCCCTGGACCGAGGAGACCGGCCCGCCTATGGTACCTTCCGTCCAGCTGATACCAACTCTCAACCCAGGAGATGTCGATCAGCAGTCGGCAAAGTCGGAGGCATAACTCACACCGGAAACAACAATAAAACAGAAATCTCTTTCGACTGGGAACCTCCAAGAGGCTGCAATCTGGGAGACATTCAGTTTGTGTAAGCGTTTCTAAAGATGTTAGAGTATGTAGTTTCCAATGATTAAAAAAAAAATATTTAAGCAACATGTATGTATATCTACGCAAAATGAACCTATTTCCGACAAGATTATAAGTGCTCTGAAAAAGCACTTTGAAAATACTTTGTAGACTAAGCTATTTTATCTCATTACAGTGCCACTGTTGTGAGGGCTTACAGTGAATATTGGGTTGATGTAAGATCTGACGTCATTTCACCTTCCGGTTTCGTCGGTAAGTGATTTTAAGAATACTAATAGCCTACTGAAAAAACATCTTTTCAAACATATAGATGATATCCTTTTAAACTGCTGCTATAAATTCTGAAATTCAATGCCAATGCATAGATGCGAATAAACTACGCATGACATGAAAATCAATCACTTCTAGGAATAGACTAAAGAACTTGATGTATTTTTGACATTTTGTAGGTGATCGAGGACTTCTGTGCCAACTCTACGTTAATCCATACAGCAAAATTTTGCAGAGACGTGTACTTAGTGCTCTGAGAAACATTCAAAACATGCAGCAGAGAGGAGGTCGTGGAGTGAACAGGGCCACAGCTCAAGGCTGAACTTAAAATAAAGATTCCAATATATAAAACCAAGTGAACCGACTCTACTTCCTTACTTCAAGCATTTACTTGCTACGTGTTCGATGCGATTTCATCGGTTAATCTCTGTTGGTTCATTTGCTGTAAACAATTTTGAGGGGTAATAAATATGACCAAAAATATTTCAGTTCATATCAGTTCTCATTTCGATTTTGAAGAAGGAGAGATGATTTTCCTCTTGAAATATGTAAACCCCAATGGCATTACCTCAAACATATTTTTTGTTTTAAATAATTTGATGCTTTTTTAAAAAAATCATTTTTCATTTGTGTTTTTGTTTTTCATTTTTAGCATTGTAAAGTGTGCGAATGTTGGTTTTTCAATAAAGTTGTGTCGTAGAATTCGTGTTGCTCTATACACACATTATCATCTTAAAGCATCATTTTATGTCTTAATCACATATTTGTTGTCTGCTTACATAACTGGTAGAGTGTAATACAAATACATACAATTCTAACACAATGCAACAATAAAAAAGATTGCGTGCAAGAAAAGATACTATATATACATGTAGTAACATATTACAATGACACTATTCATAAAATAGAATAGAATGTATACATACATAACTAGAAAACTTAAGCTTTAGATATGTTTGAGATAACTGAAACCTCTGTGAAATTATTTGTTAGGTAATCATGTAGTTTATACAGAAATAAAAATATGTAAATTGCATAGTTTACAAATGAATGTAGACCACGTTCACAGAAATTAAAGAATATAGGAAGACGTAAGGTCAATTTTTTTTCAACATGTAACCATGGGACGTCTCATTTACTGTGGTCAGGATAAAAACTTCATTCAAACACCGTTGTTAAAATAACGTAGAACATGACGCTTTTTACGGCTCATATTTCCAATACGACCAGAAAAAGTAAAGAAAAGCACCGATCATCAGGATGAAGACAAGACCAATGTTCAGAAATATTGCAGCTATCTTGTCTTGCTTTAGCTCTGCTACCTTTGCCATGTGCTCTTTCAATTTAAGATCTTCCTCCTCGTTACCTTTTCCTGCTCCGCATAGATATTTTAATAATAAAGCCTTACAGGAACTTTCATCTAAAAAACAAAATCAAAAATTAGTTTTCGTGCATGTATACCGTATTTTAAAAAAACAGATAATGTCAGAACCAATGAATTTTAATTTTTTGAACATTTTTGATTAGACATTTACAACCTGAGTCCTGTTGGTCTAGTTGTTGTTGATCTAAATAAGGATCCCTGTACTTTTTTAAATCTGCATCTTCTACATTAAAAACATGACGTTTGTTTGTCCCATTACTTGTTCCTTTTTCATTTATATCCGACATAGACATTCCAATATTGTCAAACTCTCCGCCCACACCGTCTTTGTTGTTTTTGGATTTGGCATGTCTTGTCCAGTACGTTGTTCGAAAGAGCTAAAAACACCAAAAAGTCTTTCCAAAATTTGCCGAAGTTTACAAAACGTTCATGAAAAAACTGGTAATGAAAACTCTTCGTGAATATATCAAAATGAGAATAAAATGCGAAACTCAAAACAATATTGTGTTGGTAGTACGAGATACACATATTTACTTTCCGCAGAGTTTCTCTATAAGGGCTACAGTATGAATATCAAAACTCTTACAGAACTGGCTTAAGATTCTTCTTTTATATGTGTTATCTCAATATAATATGCTAATATATCAATATATATAAATTGATGTATAATTTTGTTTTGAAAGAAGTGAAAATACAGTTTTTGCTATACGCGAGTTTAAATCAATCGTAACTTTGACACCTCTCAAACTTACAGAACATTTAAATGAATATGGGGAAGGGATGAATTGAGCTGGAATCATTGAATTTTATTCAACTGAGAGGGCAGTAAATGAAAATAAACTTAAAATACCTGTTCTTCGGTGGGCCTTCCAGTGAAATAACTAATGACAATAGCAAACAGAGCTGTCATTAGTGTGATTAATACAGCAAAGTACATGTAGTGAAAATTCTTCAATATTGCTGGACGGGTATCGGGTTTGAGACAGTCACCGCTGCTATCATTGTACACATACACTAGTATCATACGGATCACACCCGCTAATAACGCGATCATTAAAGACCAAAAGGCACCCTGAAATTTCAAAAGAAATATTTAATTTATTCAGGATTGATCATATGGTATTTTCCTCATAGCAAAAGACCTTAATATGGAGAATAATGATAAAAAATAATACAGATCTATTAACAAAAGCTGAAATACCTTTTCATTGACCATGGGCACTAGTACAGCCAATAAGAAGACAGCAGCAAAAGGTGGTGCCAGGTAATTAGTTATTTCCTGAATATAAATAAACACCTGACCCCCTTGTGTTTCCTTCAAAATGGGGACCCATGCAATGGACACCCCGATCATCACTACGATAAAGATCCTTAAAATGAAGCAATTTATATCTTGTTAGAAGAACATTCCTGTGTAATGATTTAAGCATACAAAAATCTTTCACTAGAATACCAAGATTTCTATTAGAAAGTGATACCAACAATACAAATTGTATTCTTTTTCAAAAGATACTTTATTTTTTCAAATCATATCTTCCAAAAAAAATGTACAGATACTTTTCATTTAAACTCCATAATAAAATGTTGATGTTATTTTAAGTTTTTGGTACCTTCCTACTATCATAAGTTCTTGGACACTGGCAGTCTTACGGATTCTTTTGTAAATATCAATAGTGAAAAGAGTAGAGGCGCTGTTGAAAATGGAGTCGAGATCACTCATCAAAGCAGCAATCATTACCGCCATCATTAACCCACGTAAACCTTAAAAAAACGACTTACAACAGAAATCATCATCGCCATCCTGAACCCTTTTAAGCCTTTTAAAAAAGATCATACCACTAGTATAAGAATAATGTATGAAGTTAATAATATCTATGATAAAGAAGATACCCAAAAAGTTAATGCTTTACCCTCTGGCATAATTCCTAGCACCAGACGGGGATAGGCGATATTCGTACATCCAGCATAAGATTGACAGACTTCGTAACAGATGTCTCTGTCCACACAAGCAACTTCATCTGACCGAGAACAAGGCAATGCAGATTTGATATAGTGCTTTTAAAAAGACAAAAAGTATTTTACATAGTTATGATTTGTATTAAGTCGTATTTATATACTTGCTGCGCGAATTCTAAATATTATATACATTTATATTCAAATTTTGATTATTTTTGTAGGATTTCATTCCAATTCTTTATCTGTAAGAAATCTTTTTGGTCAATGTGTTTATAATAATTTCTGAAATTCATGTATAAATTAAGTCAGAGAAAACCTCATTCTTTTTCCGTATTGTGTACTGTTAGTGCAATTCTAGGAAAACATTACCCACAGTTATGTTTTTTCACAATATTGACAAAATATGTGCTTGTTTTTTTTATTTCAATGTCAAGTCCTTTTAAAATCCAGCATCATGGTTTACATCAGAAGTATTTCTTTTGATAATGAACATGTATCAGAGCTTCGATTTAGAAAATGAGTTTCAATAGAAAGTACTGTTTCCCCTTCTTCATCAGTGACACTTTAAAAAAATATTTTCAGGAAAAAAGTAAACACGTATCCAATAGTATCTCTTATCTTATAATTTCTGCCAACTTACATTGCATATTTAGATGCTGGTAAGTTTCGAAATGGCTTGGTTTTGTTTGCTTTTAAATCATGCAATGATATCACAAACTGAATCTTAAATTGATCGTTAGCTTGAAAAAAATTTTTTTTAATATACCTGGGTATTTGATTCTACTGATCATCCCCGGCATAACCATCATAAACAGTGGAAGGATCTTGATGAAGCCCGCCATTAGTGTTGCTCCTTTAGCATGGGAAATACTTTTTGCTGCAAGTAACCTTTGTACGATAACCTATTGTATAAGAAAAACAAAACAAAATTACATACTAATTGAAAAGGTCATATTTATCTTTTTGTTTCAATGTGACTTCAATAAATACGTACATGTTATATTCATGGAAAAATTATGTTTGATATTTATGCTTACATTTATTTTTAAAGAATCAAAATCTTCATTGTATCATTAGAGAATCTTAATTCCTTAAAAAACAATCACAATATGAGACCAAGGTATCTTATTTACATAAAAACGATTCTTTGGTCTCAAAATATAAATATTTCATATAAATATTTCATATGTTCAGTGAAAATAAAAATACTTTTAACAATGAACGCTGTTTAACCTTTAAAAATGTGTTCTACCTGATCGGCACACCAGTACCAGATGGATCCAGGTGTCTGACCAAGCAAGAATCCCGCCCACGGCATGTAATCATCATCCGCTTCTCTCAACATCCGGAATGCGTTTTTGTCCGGTAGGTGGCAGGTAGCATTCGGTATCTGATAACTCTCGTTTGTCATGGCTTTCTGGTAACCTCTAACCATACCATCGTATCCACCGACATCCTTAAAAGCTGGTTGGTAAAAATAGTGAACGTCTTGATATAACAATTTTTTTTCATTGCTAACATCAAATTTATTCTGTTCATTTTCAAATAATATTTAAATTAAAAATTAACGATTTAAGTAATACTTTTCATATGATTTATATATCCTGGAGAGCTTGAGATAAAAGATACCACGGAGTCTGACACATCTGTTTCATATTTAGATACTAGTATTTTACGTAAAAAAGACGTTAATGGTAATCTAACAACCAAGCTCTATGATAAACGTGATGACTTTAATTTTTCTATCGTCAACTTCCCTTACTTATGCAGCAATATACCTTCATCACCTGTATACGGGGTTTACATATCTCAGTTGATTCGATACGCAAGAGCATGCTCTACGTATAAACAATTTTTACAACGAGGTAAATTATTGACAAACAAGTTGATAAAAACAAGAATTTCAGCAGGCTCGTTTAAAGTCATCATTTCTTAAGTTCTATGGTCAATACAATGACCTTGTCAGCAAATACAATTTATCATTGAGTAAGGGCTGACTGAGGTTTTTCATACTAATTGTTAGTCCATTATTTATACACTGAACTGACGACAGACTTTTCCGTTATTTCCCGATCAAGAAAAGGAGCACATGGCGGGTGTGACCGGTCGGCAGAGGATCCTCACTCCTCCATGGTACCTGATCCCACCTCTGGTATTTTGGAGGTTCGTGATTGTTCTGCTCCTATTTTGCATTGCTTATGGAGTTTTGATCTGGAATACTGTTCGTTATCTCCATATGTTTCATTAATTAAAATCTTTAAACAAGAAATCTTTATGTAATATCTATTTTACCTTCTTTTTTAAAGTTTTCTTGGATCTATTAAATCTTAAATGTCTACATTTTTTAGTTTCATATACAGATAAGTTCCCAAATCATGTTAATCACATTTAACTAAGGATCGTTTCCATTTTTTTGTAATTTAGAGCGATCGACAAGTATCTTATACAGATGTTCATAAATGTTTAGTAGTACATGTTCCGTATATGATTAGTACCTTTCCCAATGTATCAATCGTCAGTAGAAATATTGAAATATATTTCCAGATACTTTTTCATACTATATAGAAAAATTAGCAAAATATTAAACTGGACATATTTCAATCATCATTGTGATATACGAACTTTCAATTCTTTTTACTACGACTGACAGTTTCTCTTTTGTTTCATCAAAATTGTAACTAAAAGATATCGCAGGATTTACAATCTGTTTGATTTATAATGGTCAATGACTGCAAATAATAAAAAAAACAGATAATCTTTCCTGTAGAACTTTTGAGAAATTGGGGATTTAAGTAAATTAACATGTGATAATGTAAAACCTTTTTTATTACCTAGTCCCATTAATGTTAATCCACCACCAACCATAAGAAAGGCTTGAATAGTATCTGTATAGATGACAGCAGTAAGACCACCTGAAAATTTTGTAAATATAAATTTCAAATTAAATATGGTCAAAAATATATATCTTTCTGATAAATAATAATACAGAGATAAAAAGGCCTGAAACTTAAAATACTCTGTAAACCTGTGTGTTTTCACTCTTGTTTTTTAATCTGAAAGATGCAAAATGTAATAGCTTGGATAAAATATGAAGATGAAGATTACAAATGATAATCAAACTCAAGACCTTTGAAACAGTATAAATTTGGAGCAGAGCAAAAAAAAGGCCTATAAAAAAACTCATAGAAAGGATCAAGAGTCATGGAAGAGGTAGTATCCTTATTAATCGGTCAAAACCTTTTGGCTCCTTGTCATAATCAGGCAAACAAAACAAAAATCCGTAGACAATTCAATAAAAGAATGGCCTTACAATTCATATGTAAATAAAGCCATTTAACATTCGACTTAATAATTGTATCGTATCGTTGTATATTTGTATATGCTAAATGTTGACTTTAAAAGAGTTCGATGATATATACTTGTATAATGAATTTATTTGTGACAAGCTTGCCTTGTTTTTAAAAATTGTTGTTATTTAGAGCATTCTTAGAGATCCATGTTTCCTCCGATCCTGATTTTTATTGCTTAAAATGACTTCTGAGACTGATCGATTTTCGTTATTTCTATGTTTCGTTTCACATTTTTTTTACAGAAAATTTTAATTACCTGGACGTCGTTTATTTGCATCAAATATAATTGAAATATATAGAGATAAGAAACAGTATTCAAGCGCAAAAGTCCATTAAAGAATACAAAATAGGAGCAGAGCAAACCTCCAATACATTAGAGGTGGGAACAGGTGCCAAGGAGGAGTGAGCATCCCCTGCCGACCGGTCACACCCACCGTGAGCTCCTTATCATGATTGAGAAATAACGAAAAAAATCCGTCGACAATTCAGTGTGTAAATAATGGTCTAACAATAAGTACGAAAAATGTCACAGAGCATTTGACTTAATGATAAATTGTGTTTGCTGACAAGCAAAAATAGGAATGTTATCAAATTGATGTTCTTTTCTATATTTACTATATTCAAATGATATGAATTTGAACTACCGTATATATATTGGATTCCAAAACTTCATAAGAATCCTTACAAACAAAGATACATAGCAGGTTCCAGTAAATGTTCTACCAAGCCTCTTTCTTTACTCCTCACTAAGATATTGACAGTAGTGAAGGAAAAAATTCAAGAGTACTGTGCAACAGTATATTTCAAAAAGTGATGTGAATCAGATGTGGATACTCAAAAATTCCAAAGATTGTTTGGACAATTTGAAATCACAAGATTTTACCAAAATCAACAGCTTAAAAACTAACGACTTTTCAATTTTATACACAACCATTTTCCACGATAAATTAAAGTCCAGGTATTTTGATATCATTGACAGCTGCGTTTTCAATAAAAATGGAACTCGTAAATTTACTTACCTGGTCAATGATCATTTGCAAAATCATTTTGTTAAAGCACATTCTGATTGCACACACAAGTACTCTGAAGTTGACATCAAAAAGATGCTTGAGTTTCTGATTGACAATATCTATGTGGTTTTTGGAGACCAAGTCTTCCAAGAATCTATTGGAATTCCCATGAGTACCAATTGCGCTCCGTTATTAGTAGACCTATTTTTGTATTCATATGAAGCAGAATTTGTGCAAAATTTTATGTGTGAAAAGAAGAAAACACTTGCTGTGACCTTCACCTCAACATTTAGATATATCGACGACGTATTGCCAAGTATCAATGGTAATTTCCATTCCTATGTCGATACCATATATTCTGGTGAACTTGAGATGAAAGATACCACAGAGTCTGACACATCTGATTCATACTTGGATATTTTACTTGAAAAAGACACTAATGGTAATCTAACAACCAAACGTGATGACTTTAAATTTTCTATCGTCAACTTCCCTTACTTATGCAGCAATATACCTTCATCACCTGCATATTGAGTTTATATATCTCAGTTAATTCGAAACGCACGAGCATGCTCTACGTATGAACAATTTTTACAACGAGGTAATTGATTGACAAACAAGTTGCAGAAACAAGAATATCAGCAGTCTCGTTTAAAGTCATCATTTCGTAAGTTCTATGGTCGATACAATGACCTTATCAGCAAATACAATTTATCATTGAGTCAAATGCTGACTGACGTTTTTCATACTAATTGTTAGTCCATTATTTTCACCCTGAATTGACGACGGATTTTTCCGTTATTCCCCGAACAAGACAAGGAGCACATGGCGGGTGTGACCGGTCGGCAGGAGATGCTCACTCCTCCATGGCACCTGATTCTACCTCTGATGTTTTGGAGGTCCGTGTTTGCTCTGCTTCAATTTTGTATTGTTTTATGGACTTTGATATTGAATACTGTTCGTTGATTATCTTCATTTCCTTCATTACTCAGTATTAATATTAGTTTTATTAAAAGTTACAGATTAACGATACCTGTTATAGTCATAAGTCCCGTAACAAACACCAGAATAACGATACTGAGATATAAGTCCCATCTCAGAGACTGCTGAATGAAGAGTGCTCCAGTGAAAAGATCTCCCTATATAAATTAGAAAAATGTTTTAAAATATAGACTCTTACAATACATCGTAAAGAATAGTGCATTTCAAAACTAACGTATGAAGGCAACAGCACCATGAGAAGTTTGTCACATACTGCACTAATCATACTTACAGAACATTTTGTGAAAATGTACAAAATAAGTGATAGAACAGCAAAGTAGATTCGAAGCCGTTTCCCGCCAAATCGCTTAGAGAGGTATTCAGGCATTGTGTACGTCTATTGAAGGATAAAAAAGAAATACAAAAAAGCACAATATAGGGAAACTTATCTGGTAGAAATATGATAAGAGTAGATAACTTTTTTTAAATTGGAATACTTAGAAAGATCTAGTTCGGATAGTTGCACATACCCCACAAGCTATGTACACAGGTATAAAAATCCATCCGAGCAATTGAAGCAGCAATATTGCCTACAACAAAATATTCTAAACTGATAAAAACATTCTCTTAATTAAGGTATCATTCCATTGTATTGTAAATCCTTCATATTTACCACAGACGAAATGATTTTAATTTAGTTATCCAAAATAATTCAAATTTCTATGAAGGTGTATACATATCAGTTTGAAGTAAGATAAAAATAATTACATTATTTTTTCCCCTTCCCATGACACTGTTTGAAGTATGTAGGAATCACCTTGTTGAGAATTTTTAAGCCACAGCCTTGCACCACTAGAAAAACTTGTGAAGCTCTTATTTGACACAAAGATTGACATAAATATTATCTTTGGGAACTTTTTGTTCAGTATGAATTCTTGCAATTCGTTGCTACATAATTTGCATCAGTCCACAGTGTCAGAGTAAGTTTGTGTGCAGTTAAAACGTAAAAATTAATCATTAGTAATTAATTCTGACTTCATATAGTGTATGTACATTAAATTCCCAGGCACCAACGCTGATCCCATTGCCTGCCCCGGATCCTGCCAGTCCAATGAAATGTTCTGTTCCAATGTTACTCACAAACAACGAAGCACCGACCTAAAAGTATGCCATAAGTAGTTTTAGAATAATCATATTTTGTAATTGCTAAAGTATAAAAGCAGCTATGCTGTGAATAGAATTTTTGAAACAAAGTCTGTCTTCATGCACTGATTTACATACAGGTAACCAAAGCATTGACCTTCCCGCCAAGAAATAACCGCCAACTGTCTGTCTGTTTGCTCTGTACATTGCCTACAAATAAAAGGATAAAATATAGCATATTCATGAATGAAAATTAGGGAAAAGACGAGAAATAGATTGACCTTTATAATTTGTTTTTGGTTGTGTTCAAATATAGATCATTACACTTTCTATGATCAATGCATCAAAACTGAATCATATTTGATTAGTATATTATCATAATAGTAGTTCCTTTCTTTATTTTGAAGATTGCATATCTATCTCTCCCTTTATTTGTACATATAAAGAATTGTGTGTTAAGACTGTTCTTCAAATCAAAACCCCTAGGGGAAAATACTTACAAATGCCCCCACTATGATGATGACAATGAAGTATGCAATGACAACTCCTATGTCACCACCACTGAGGCCAGTGTCCGTATGGAGATTGTAATTTGCTTTGAAATTATAGTACGCTTCGCTTTTGTCCCCCATGATGTCCTTCTTTGCCTCTGTGAACATATAAATCAAGACATTCTTTTAAAATAAAATTATGATAAAAATCATGCCATTTTCTTTTTAAATTAAATATGGTAAAGCAAAACATTTACTCTTATTTCAGATGTGTTTTTTTCATTTTTGATTTAAAAAGAAACCAATACATTTGGTTATCTTGCACAATTTAAAACTACTTTTTAAACGCCATCTATATTACCTACAAGTATTCCTAATGTTACAATGCTTATAAATCACTTTTTCAAGCACAATATTTTAAACTCAAATTTTCTTGTATTTTCATATGTTAGACTATTTGTCTACGTCTAGGTTTCATTGAGATATTATCTATGAAGAGTCAACAAAATTATGTAATATCAACAAAGATTTTAAAGAGAGTTTTTATTTAAAGGCAACTCTGGGTTTTCTTCCATTTTCAGAACATACATTTTGAGTATAGAGTTTTATAGATCAGATCAATTTCTGTAGTTGATTTAAATGTTAATAATTTTTTAACACAGTGAAGCAATCTTAATAAAATAGCATTGCAGCAAAATAACAATTACTAAAAAGATGATATCTTTGCAGGTAGAAATGTTCTTTGTAAAACAAAATGTTACAAACAAGTTGTGTACAAAGAATAATTTCACCTAAAAGTAAAGTATTTTAATTCTATTTATTGTCAATAATCGAGTCGCATATCAATAGTATCTACGCAACTTAATTATCATAAAAACAAACTTTTTATTTACAATAATTTTTAAATTTAAAAGAGTGCTAAATTTTGCCAAAGTTACAAGTTTTCTTTAATTTTTCACATATTGAACATCGGTTTCCAGTTCCTTTCAAATTTACTGCATATTTTTTTCAAAGGGTATTTAAAAAACGTGGTGTATATTAGCATTAGTTACTTCAAATGTCGACTCGATAAATCCGATTGAGCTTGAAATAAAAGAAATAATAAAGTCTGACACATCTTTCTCCAATGCGGATATTCTACTAAAAAAGAAGTTAATGGTAACCTTAATATAAGAAAACTTTATGATAAACGTGATGACTTCAACTTTTTAATCATCAACTTCACTTACCTAATATATAGCAATATACCCTTATCACCTGCGTTTGGTGTTTATGTCTCTCAGTTGATTCGATACACAAGAGAATGTTTTAGGTATGAACAATTCCAAAAAAAAGGCAAGCTATTGACAAACAAATTGATGAAACAAGGATTACAACAGACTCGTTTGAAGTCATCATTTCGCAACTTTTATGATCGATTACCTTGTCAACGAATGGATCTATTTTTAAGTCAAAAAATAACTGGCCTTTGAAAACTAATTATAAGGACATTAGAAACACACAGAGTTGTCCAACGGATAGTTTTCCGTTGTTTTTGAGTTTTTCTTGTTCGTGACAAGGAGTACACGGCGGATGTGTCCGTGTGCTGGGGATGTTCGCTCCTCCGTGGCACCAAATTTTTTATGTCTGTGTTTGTTCTGCCAATGATTTGTATTGTTAAGAGGGACCTTTAGGTTAAATACTTTTCTTTATCTCCATATTTTTATACTAAATACATATACACGTAGATTGACTTTCTACTTTGCTGTTAAGGACATTGGATAGTTAAAAAATGTTATTTTCTGCACATGCTTTGTTATTGCTAAAATCATTTACGTTTAATATTTTGCATTCTCCTTAAAACCTATACTTTCATTCATTATTCCACCATGACACCTTATCCAACCTCTGATGTTTTCAAAACCTTGTGTTTGCTCTGCTCGCAGTTTTTGTTGTTTTATTGGTTTTACTATAATTTTCACATTTCATTCAAAGCAAAATCAGTTTTGTAAATAAATTAACACGAATTTTCGGGATATTTATGTTTTTCATGTATTTATGATTTATTTCAATTTTTATGTGATCACGTTATATGTAATTCAGCATATTTTAAGAAAAAGTCCAATTTCGTTACTGCAGAAATGAAGTATTTATTATATATTTTTATGAAGACTTGAGATGGTTTACAATGAAAACTTAAAAAAAATATTTAGGTAATTTTTTCGGGTAAATTACTTTACACCTCTCAGATGAAAAAAAACCATTGAAAATTTCAATTCTTCGGGACCTCATCAAAATGAAATTTAAATTTACTTTTCACGGCATCATTGGATCTCGAGACTGTTAAAACAACCACTTTTATTTGTTTAGTGAAAGACAAACAATGCTATAGTGTTTATTTCGTCAAGAAATTGTTTACAAATGCTCGTGTTTCAACATCCTTACTTGAAATAACTTTCAACGTGTTTCAAAACCGTTTCAAAACGTGGTGAAGCCCCTTCAAATTCATCGCAAGTTTTCTGATTTTTCAGTGATATCGTTTTAAAGACTCTTTTCAATACTTTTTTGACAATTTTAAGTATTCAAAAATATATCTTGTTTTAAATGCTTGAATTTTTTTTACTTTTATACAATGCATGTTTAGTAATAATGACTAAGAGTTTATGTTTCTTTCTTTTATTTACTCTTTTGTGACCACAGATTGGCAATCCTTTGAAGGGTGAATAAGGATGTGCATCACATGCAATAACTTATCTAGAATCTTCTCAAGACATTTAATATTGAAAAAAAGGCGGTCAGAAAAAATTTGATCTGGAAGCCATAAAAATCACGAATACAATACAATGAAAATCTTGATGAATTTTCAGGTAACAGCTTTTTGGCTCTAGGACATGTAATGAAAAATAAAATCAATGCAAATTTAATGTAATGTAATAAATGTATTCATTTCACCACTAGGAAAAGTAAACTAAATAGATCTTTAAGGTTAAAGATAGTAATTGTCACAATACATCTAATTGTTAAGAGACAGATGCATGACTTCTGTGTTTGAGAATAAATTAAAGTATTCAAAATGGGCTGATGCAGATGTTAAAGAACGAAATCAAAATATGTAATATGTATGCATAAAAAGCATTATAAATTCACCACGAGACTTTATGTAACATTGTTGCTGGTGGCATATAGAATATCTTACCTTTATAAAGTCCTAATTTTTATGCTGAGAGTCGCCCCCTTTCTTCGTTCTGTTTACATGAAATGAAGTGGAGCATATCAACTGGAGGTTGGATAAACCGTCAGGTTCACAAATGTATGAAGTAGGTAGTGGGGTCTCCACCGTTTTAAACCCCATCCCTAACGAAGTAGTCCTTGTACGTGTGTCTGACAAGAGAAAGGAAGAAAATAAATATACACATGCACTGATAGCACGTTCATAAATTTAAAACTTAAAATCAATAATGTTATATTTTTGTTAGTTTATAAAATTTTGCGCATGTAATGTCAGTTACTGCACTTGAAAACTGCTTTTGTGCATTTGGTCAAATATAGATAATGCTTAAAGATAATTGCCACTTGCTTATTAGGCCTGAACACTCATTAATTAATAATGAAGGAAAGTCCACAAAATAACTAAGACAATAAGTAGTGTAAGTATAAAAAGTAAAAACAAAATGGTAAAATTTGATTAATGCCAAAATAGATGAAACACACATTCTATCAGTAGTTATTATCTAGAATTAACTGTAAAACAAATCAAACTAAAGAAGTATATTAATTGTACCCAAGATTAATGAAGGGACTATTATAATAGTAATAGAGAGTCATTAGTATGTTAAGTATGAAGCAATTACAGTATACTGTTACACTGTAAAAAACTTTTCCAGTGAGGCAAAAAAAAAGAAGAACTAAACATTGCGCATTTTAACATTTCTCTAATATTTAGAACACTATAGTGTAAGAGGGCACAAGTCAAAGTATTCATGTTACTTAAAGAAATTTTATATCATTTAGTTCGTAAAGCTTGATACATTGAACAATTCAAAATAAAATACAACTATTGTTATCATTTCTGTTTCTTCATGTTCAGAATTTTACGTGCTTAAACCAACTTTATAGGATTGTTTATACCGACATAAAATGTCTTTTTTTTTTATAGGTTCGGACAGGAATTAAAGGTTGTAGCAATTGATAAAAAAAAAAAAACACAACCAGTTTTGCAATCTTTAAGTCGAAAAAAGTTGTTAATCGCAAACTTAGAACAAACCTTTATGATAAATAACATTTTTGTCGTTCACCTTTTTAATTTATAGCAATATACCATTGTCACCTGTTTAAAAAAATATCACCCAGTTGATTCGATACGTTAGAGTATGTAACTTCTAAAACAATGCAAACTATATTGTCAAATAATTTGCTGATAAAATTATAACAATGGTCTCTTTACTATCAACAGCTGGACAATTTTTTGATCTATACAATGGGCCTTTTTTCAGTTTGTGTACATTGTTCTTCGTTCTCTTTGTCTAAGTTTTTGCATTCTTTACCAGTTTGATTTTCACTTTGGATAGTATCAGGTGCATGGTAGTAGGAGCTAACATCTATTTCTCTCAGAGCTCTTAAATCCTGAAACAAACTTCTCCATTTCTGATTATCATAATGTGTTCGATTAGGTTCTTTGTTTTGCTGTTTCATGATTTCCAGGTTGTTTTGCTAGTTTTTGTGAGGAAAAAAAAACTTTCTCCTATCACAAGTTCGTTTGTTTCGCAAAACTCAATCAGACTTTCTCCATTTTCCTTGTATTCTCCAATATTCTCCAGTATTGTCTTTTCCCACCCCCATTATTCTTCCATTGACAGGTTCCCATTCCATGAGATTATTTTTTTGCTTTCTTAGATAGCATTATCGCTATTCCTTTAATGTGGTGTTTTTCGTTCTCATTGCCCGAATAAAGATCTTTTTCTCCTGTATTCAGTGTTATCTTCCCACTTTGATTCCATCTTCCTTCGCTTATGTCTAGAACGTCAATGCTGTAGTTTTTCATTTGCTTAGCTATTTCCGTCTCGTACATGGGACGTACATTCCACTGGGCAACTTTTGTGACTGATTTGGGTGAAAACAGGGGTATCAGTTTGTTAAACGTCATTTTCTGTTTTGCATGGCGGTCTTCAGTTGCATTTTCAATTATAATAACATTACAAAAACACAAAAACTGTGACATAAACTGAGAATAAAGTATAATGTAGACAAACTAAATTACCTGATTGAGAGAACATATTCCACTTTGAACTGAGGAATAGATTTAGTGCACTGTACATTGAAGATCGAACAAGACCTATATATTGAGAGAGAATGGACTAATGGAAGGGGTATCATCAAGAATACATGTGAAGAAGTCCTAAGAAGAAAATCAACAAGAAAGAATGAATGTCTGAAACCACATAGCTGAAGGTTGAAGCAAGGCGTAAAATGAAAGAAAAGGTTAACAAAGAGCATAAAAGAGTGCACAACCAGCTTGCAACAGAAAAAGAAAGAGCTGCCTACATGATGGATATAAAGTCTCACTACAACATCACCAAAACCTTCAGCAGGTGTAAGACATGCAAGTGTAAACCGGTCAGATACAAAGATGGTAAAGGCCATATCTAAAACATTAGAGGTGGGATCAGGTACCATGGAGGAGTGAGCATTCCCTACAAACCGGTCACACCCGCCGTGTTCTCCTTGTCATGATCGGGAAATAACGGAAAAATCCGTCGTCAAATCAGTGTATATATAATGGACTAACAATTAGTATGAAAAAACTTCAGTCAGCATTTGACTCAATGATAAATTGTATTTGCTGACAAAGTCATTGTATTGACTATAGAACTTACAAAATGATGACTTTAAACGAGACTGATTCTTGTTTCATCAACTTGTTTGTCAATAATTTACCTCGTTTTAGAGATTTTTCATACGTAGATCATGCTCTTGCGTATCGAATCAATTGAGATACATAAACTCCGTATGCAAGTGATGAAGATATATTGCTGCATAAGCAAGGGAAGTTGACAATAGAAAAGTTAAAGTCATCACGTTTATCATAGATTACCATTAACGTCTTTTTCAAGTAAAATATCCAAATATGAAACAGATGTGTTAGACTCTGTGGCATCTTTTATCTCAAGCACACCAGGATATATCGTATCGACATAAAAATGGAAATTACAATTGTTGATTTACAAAACATCGTCGATATATCTACATGTCGAGTTGAAGGCCAAAGCACTTGTTCTTTTCATGCATAAGACTTTGCACAAATTTTTCTTCATATGAATACAAAAATAGGTTTGCTAACAACAGAACGCAATTGGCACCCATGCGAATTCCAATAGATTGTTGGAAGACCTGGTCTCAAAAAAAACACATACATGTAGATATTGTCAATCAGAAACTCAAGCATCTTTTTGATGTCGACTTTAGAGTACCTGTGTGTACAATCAGAATGTTTTTAAAAAGATTATTTTACAAATGACCAATGACAAGGTAAGTACATTTACGAGTTTCATTTCTATTTATGGCACGCCAAATTCACAAAAATGCGCAAAACATAGTTTCACAGTCGATAAACTAGGTTTATCGGTTGTAAACTATAGTTACGGACTGTAAACTATAGTTAACAACGTTAATCTATATTTTACATCTGTAAACTATAGTTAACGCGATAATCTATGTTTCACAACCGTGAACTATACTTAACACTGAAAACAATCATTTGCGATTGCAAAACATAGATTATCTGATAAATACAGTTTCACGATTTGTAAACTATAGTTAACGATCTGATAAATATAGTTTCACGATTTGTGAAACTATGATTAACAACTCTTAACTATAGTTTACGATCGTAAACTATAGTTTACAAACGTGAATCTATGTTTATCAACAAAATCTATTGTTAACGCTTATTACAGACAGATAAACTTAGATTATCATTCGTAAACTATAGTTAACAACCGTTAGATATAGTTTTACAGATGAAAACTATACTTAACGAATCGTTAACTATAGTTTACGGTTTGTAAACTATAGTTTACAGTCGATAAACCTAGTTTATCAAATGTGAAACTTGGTTTATCTCATTTTTGTGAATTTGGCGTGCCATATCTATTGAAAAAGCATGGATTTTAATTTTTATACAATTTATAATAATAAAGGGCTACTTGTTTAACTACCAAAAAAGGAGACTTGATTAAGCTGCTGTGAAAACTGGAGAGACATAACCCTGCTGCCAGTAGCTAACAAGATCCTATGTAGAGTAATACTGAACAGAATAACTTAATTTTGATCTTATTCCATGACTTTAAATATAATTCACACATAGTAATTCGTGGGATTTTTATATGCTCTTGGATGGTTTTTTCATGGTATCTCGTCAAATGCAGCGTCTTTGTATCCATTCATTTTAAATTATACCTTTGCCTTGCCTTTACCCAGAAACAGTGCACTTCATATAATTTCTGTATTTTTTGTACATTAACATGACACTACATCGCATGATAATAACAATATTTCTCATCTGATCGACTGCTTTCCATGTTAAAAAAGATGGCATTTTTTCAGGTTTACTTTCTGAAATCTAGCATCAGGAAAGATACGTTCCAACGCAAAATTTCAAAGTTTCAGACCAGTCCATAAATGTAAAAGAATTTTCTTTTAAAAAGTAACAATTTACTAAGCTGAAAGATAAACGATACTTTCTTATCACACACCACACACTTTCTGCAGTTTTGTCTTTTTTCGGCACACACACACACAAACACAACACAAGTATGGAAAATGTGCAGAGTACATGTACTGTTAAAAACAACCGTCATCTGTAAGAAGTCAGTTTGAAAAGTTTAACTAAATAGTACCAAAGAAAGGTCGATAAAAAGTTGTAAATATATACCTATAGTAGAATCATACAGATTTAACATCATACAATTTATTAATAAATTCCCCTTTAAAACATCGAGTTGTAAAATTTAATATAATGATTTTTTGAGAATATGCACCTTTAACATGAAATATATAATACATATTAAATAGGGTTATATCTCGTACTGAGCTCGTACTGAGATCGGTAATGTTAAGTTTTATTGCAAGAAAATGCGACCTTAATTTGAGCGAAAAACCACGTGAGCTTAAAAATGCGGGGAGTTGTATGCTTCCTCATATTCCTGTAGTAATGGAGGAGACATGGTCTTTTAAATATCTGTTAGAATTCTTATGGTTACTAATTGAGCTCCGTTATATGAGGAAGAAAAACATTTATTGTGACCTTTAACTAGATGTCCCATTTTTGATTCATGTATATCAACGACGTATTATCAATTAACAATTAATTTCCATTCATATGT